CTCTCCTATTACTCATTGGCTCTGTAACAGCCAGATGATCTTATTAAAGTGTAAATTGGATATCACACCTGTTTCCAGTGCAACTAACTCCCACTGCAGTTAGCAAAACAGAAAAAGGCTTATATTGGGTTTAAAGACTCAACAGGATCAGGCTCCTCTATCTGTCTCTCTCCAAACTTATCACTGTGCATGTAGATTGTAGATGTCACCTCATACAACATTCTTTCCCATTACAGGTCACTCTTGTTTTTGACTATTTCAAACAGGCCATGCTCCTTCAGGCCTCAGCTCTTTCACACTTATTGTTCCTACTGCCTGGAATTCCTGCTGCCTCCTTTTCCTGTGGTTGGTCCCTTTCATTCAGCTATTGGTTCCAATGGCATCCCCTTACAGAAGATTTCCCTAACCACTCTGCTTGAAATAACCTACCTTCTCCACGTAACTTACAATTTTGTCTGAACCAAACTTCAGGATTAGAGAAATTGCTATTAATTACAAAGATTTAAGAATTACCCTCAATATTTTTCTTATTTACCAAAAATATAATAACTGGCGTTTTTTAAGCCAAGCCTACTTTTATAGGGGAAGAAATACAGAAATATGCATTAAAGTAACTTATAGCTTAATGAATTATTATAGGGACTTCCCTGGTGGCACAGTGGTTAAGAATCACCTGCTAACACAGGGGACACGGGTTCGAGTCCTGGTCCAGGAAGATCCCACATGCCGCGGAACAACTAGTCCCGTGCGCCACAACTACTGAAGCCCGCATGCCTGGAGCCCGGGCTCCACAACAAGAGAAACCACTGCAGTAAGAAGCCCACACACTGTAGCGAAGAGTAGCCCCTGCTAGCCACAACTAGAGAAAGGCGACGTGCAGCAACGAAGATCCAATGCAGCCAAAAATAAATAAACAAATATATCAAAGAAATAAAAATAAAAAATAATGAATTATTATAAAAGAAGCGTCTGAGAAACAGCACCCTGGTCAGGAAGTAGAACATAGCCATTCCCTACCCACCCCCCAGAAAAAACCCTCTTTCCAACCACAACCCCATCCTTTCACCCTATAGGTAACTGCCATCCTGACTTTTATTATACCAACTTCTTTTCTTGTCTTTTAGTTTCAGCACTTGAGTATGCATCCATAATTTAATATCATTTTGCTTGCTTTTGAACTTTTACAATCATAAGGCACCTTTCGTGTTTACTTCATTTGTTCAATATTGCTTTTTAAAGATGAATGCATGTTGGCTATAGTTCACTTATTTAGTTTGCTGTGCAGTATTTCATTGCATGAATATACCACAACTTACTTGTCCATTCTATGTTGATGGGTGTTTGGGTTGCTTCCTTTGGGCTATTAAAAATAATATTGTTATGAACATTCTTGTACAGGTAACCTCACACATACATGCACACATCTGTAGGGTATATGCCTAGAAGCAGAAATACTGGCTTATAAGGTATGGAATTGTCAGTTTTTCTAGATTATGCCAAACTGCTTGTTCAAAGCATTTGGGTCGATTTATAGTCCTGCCAATGGTGTATCAGTGTTGCCATTACTCTACTTCTTCGTCAGCTCTTGCTACTGTCCATCTTTTAAATTTTAGGTATTCTAGTGGGTGGCTAGAGGTGTCATTGTGGTTTTAAGTTACATTTCTCCTGATTACTAATGAGGTATTATTTCATCCATGAAATCATGAAGTTGGACATGTACAAGTGAAGTGATATGTACAAGATCAGGCTCAAGCAGGTCCTGGTCATGAAGCTGCATGATCAAGTGGCTCAAATGCCTATAGCGACTACTCCTGCACTGCTGCTTCTTCCTTAGTCCACATCTATGCTGTCATGGGGATACCCATAACTTATTTACTGCGGAAGAAAGAACTCAGGCCTGGTATAGGGATGGTTCTTCACAATGTGCTTTGGCAATTATCACTGCAATCTAGAGTGTCTCTGAAAGGTAGTGAAGAGAAATTTTCTCAGTGGGCAGAACTTTGAGCAGTACTTCTGGCTGTCTACTTATCTAGGTAAAGAGATGTCCACAGGCGTAGATCTACAGTATTTCATGGGCAGTGGCTAATGGGTTGGCCAGGTAGTCAGGGACTTTGAAAGAATAAGATCAGAAGCCTAATGACAAGGAAATCTGGGCCAGGAGTGTGTGAATGGACCTCTCGGGATGAGCACAAAATGTGAGGGTATTCGTGTCCCATGTGATGTTCACAGGGCAACCACTGCAGTGAATGTCTTCCTTGCTCAAACGGACAGGCTGACTCATCCTCTGGATGTAGTCATCCTCTTTCCCTAGCATCCCAGTGCTTGCTCAGCGGTCTCATGTACAAAGTAACTGTGGCAGCAGGGACAGACGTTATACACGGACTCAGCAACATGAAATTCTTCTCACCAATACTGATCTTACTATTGTCACTGCTGAGTGCCTAACCTGCTAAGAACAGAGACGAATCCTGAGCCACCAGTAGGGCCCCACTCCTGGGAGACACCAGCCACCTGGTGGCTAATTAATTACATTGGATCTCTTCTCTAGTGGAAGGGTCAGCAACTGTTCTCATGAAAATATTAATTCTGGATATGAATCCTAAGTCTCTTCCTGTAAGACTACCAACCATAATCTCACAGACATGGTTATGTCTCACAACATAAATTCTAAATGAGAAATTCATTTCACAACAAAAGAAATGTAGCAATGGGCTCATAGCTATGAAATTCATAGGTCTTTCCATGTACCAAATCACCCAGAAGTGGCTGGCTTGATAGAATAATATAATGACCTACTAAGACTTTGAACCAGTCACCAATATAGGATGTTATTTCTCCCACTGCCAGAATACATGGGTCCAGGAATCGCGGAATAAAAATAGGATGGATTTCTCTCAGTATTATGTTTAACAACCCACTCACAGAATTTTTTATTACCGTCCCTATAAAGGGGCTATGCTGATTTGGTGGTCTTAGCTCCCATGGAAAAAAAATATTTCTACCACGGCACACAAAATGGTTCAAGTGAATTTGAAGTTGAGACTGACACCTGAATATATTAGGGTCCCTATGACACTAAACCAACAAGCAACAAAGGAGGTTCGTATAATGGCTGGGGTGGTTGATCCACATTATTACAGGGAAATTGATCTACTGCTACACAATGGGGTCAATAAGAACTATGTCAGGAGCCCAGGCGTTCTCTGGGTTGCCTCTTAATATTCTCTTATTCAAGAGTGAAAGTTAATAAACAACCAACTCCTAAGGACTCAGACCTTCCAGGATGAAGATTCGCCCACCCTACTAGGTAAAGAGGCAGCCACGAGCAAAGCCAAATGGAGCAGAGGAAGAAGTTATAAATATCAACTACAGCTTCAAGACCAGTTATAGAAACAAGTACTTAAGCAAATCTACTTCATCGTTTGCGGATATTTTTGTACATATTAACTATTTTTTCCTTCCCCTACCCCCTATCAAGTTACATAAGAAATGTTGGTCGTAGTGCATTGACAGTTTAATTGAGGTGGGATTGTGACTGAACCAGGATAAGTAACACCGCTAAGGATAATAGCAACTGATGGAACTTTACTTTTTCCCCTTTTGGGGGAGAGGTGAGAGTTTTTCCTTTGTACAAAAGATAGTAAAATCTGCATAGACTGAAGCATAAACTGTTGCTGTTGTACAGAAATTTAAATATGGGTAGAAGGCTGTGCGTGGCTGCTTAATAGCTAAAAGGGAAGGTCGTGCTCGTTACTCGCCATAGGCACTCAGCTCCCTCTCCCTCACTTACACACCCACCGTCCTGTATTCTGCTCTGTTCTCCTGGGGTTGGGACACATGCAAACTACATTTCCCGACTTCTCTGCCAACTGGACTCCTGTTAGGTTTGGTCAATAGGAGGCACCACTGGGAAGTCAGAGGCAGCAGAGGTTCTGGCACCATGGTAGTTGTTGGCAATCAGCAGGGGTGGAGTGACTGTGAATGCCAACACACCACAGATAGTACCTATCAGCAACCTTAGCTCTGGTCCAGGCAGTACCACTTGAGCAGATCTAGGATCAATTACAACAGTCTCCAATAGTGCAGTGGCGGGTACAGGCTCCTAGCAGTTTCTGAACTCTGAGAATATCACCCTCCCATAGAACAACCTAACTACATTTACCAGTTCTCCAGGAAAAAATCATCAACACCCTAGAATGACATAAAACGAACAAAAAAATCCCCTCTAATTAATGGAATGATCAAGAGGTAGGTCTAATTTAATTACAAGGGTGTCTGAAAATGAGACAATCAGACGGTACTGCCACAGTCACAGAGCAGCACTTTCAAGAAGCGCTACTGGGCGTGCCACAGCATCTCCTTATTTCTCTCTCCCATCAGTTATAATTTATAATGACATCACTGTACCTCAGATTACAGTGAGGGAGATTTGCCTGGCCTTTCTTCTATTACTTGGCCCCTTATTTTAGGAGCACAGGTGGCTTCAGGAACACAAATATCCTTTCTCAAACATAAATGCCTGTCTATACTTTTGGTACAAATTTTAACACAAGCTTTTATTTTATGGCTTCTCTCCTTATGTCATAATAAATATATTCTGAGATTATCAGACTTTAACAAATTTCATCAGAAATAAAAAATAGTATCTCCATATGATTTCTTCCCTCTGGTAAGCCAAGTTCATTTTGTGTAAAACACTTCTTCCCTTGTAAGTTTTAACTTAAATTGAAGAATTTTATTTTAATTTGACTCTCCAGTCCTATCACTAGTAAGTATCATGCAATTCTGGGACCCCAAAGAAAGCAATTGTAAATCAAGTTCTGTAGAACTTCTTTAGTTTGTATTTAAACTAACCATTTATCCAATTCCACAATGAAATCAGTGTTATAATTTTCTTAACATTCAACTTAAAACATTAGACAGAATAATCTGAATGGGGGAAAAATCATTATCAAATGCTAAAAATGTAAACATGAAGGAAGTAAACATGAAAACAAATCTCTTTTTAAAAATTCATTTAATTACAAGAAAATTAGGCAGAAAATTGCACAGTTCCAAACAAATCCTCTGTATAAACACAAGGGCTCATTCACCATCATCTTTTTGTATTTATCTCTCAAATAACATTCCATCTATTGAACCCAACCTATACTGGCAAAATTAGAATACATGGATATTTTTACTGTTTAATATTCCATAAACAGAACTGGCGTCTGTCCTTAAGTTATGATGGTGTCTGTCATTTTGCTTCAGAGAAAACTCTAAAATTGTTCCCTTATGAGTATTTCAATCAGCCACTCTCAAAATCCAACGCAAAAAACAAAAACAAAACAAAACAAAAAACGCTGTTGTTTCACTAAAAGATACCTGTCTTCCACTTCATTTTACCAGCCTAAGTACAAATTCGGAGAAAAGCTTCTTAAGTCCTGCAGTTTCAAATTCCTTTTGTAACTCATCCAACGATGAATACTCTTTGACTTCAAATGCCAGAAACCTGTATTATACAAGAGAAACTCATGAATATGCCTAAATTTGTCAGAGTATAATTATCGATTCAGTTGCTTTTCCATCTGCAATAGTACTAAATTATACCTTTTGTGTTCTGTCTGTACTTTTGTTTCAAACAGTACACTAATCATTTTCTCTTTGCATTTCTTTCCACTTGAGTCCACATCTACTTTGCAGGTTTTCTGAAGAATCAGGTACTCCTAAATGACAAATCAGTACGTTAAATACGTATCTTACTCTGAATCTCAAAGTCCTAGTTTGAAAGGAGCCATAAACCTACAGGCTTATTTCCACGCTTACAGAGTACTCACTTTCTGAATCAAGCAGTAAGAGAGTTACACAGTGTTTTCACATACTTTGAAGCATAACATTCTGGTGAATGCTGGAGTAAAGAAGGGTCTAATCGAACTACGTAGGCTTAAATCTAAACTAGATCTGATTCTGGGGTTAGTTATCTAGATCTTCTGTGCCTCACTAACCTATTCCATAAAATGGTACTCATAACATCTACCTTATGGGAAAGTTGTGATAATTAAATGAGTTCATACATATAAAGCACTTAGAGGAGTGCTTGGCACAATAGTGCTTAATATAGTACCAGCTACTCTCATTATTATCACTTCCTCAAGGTCAGAATGAAGTTAACAGGCACACAGTACCGAACATTCCAAATTGATGGCATCTATAAATATGTACCTGTAGTTCTCAATCCTGATATACAGTCTTATAAAAATTTAAGGGATATTTACATTAAATGACATTTTAGGGACAGCTAATAAAAAAGAAAGAACTCCTTAAAAAGTACTCTACATTACCAGAGGTCAAGCCATATGATTAAATAAATTAATTAACTGATGGATCCAATCTGAGAAACAACATCTGCAAAACAGCTACACTTAGCCTAATATGCCTGAGCTGGCTTAAAGAAAAATCTGAGCCTTTTGGGGATATATGAGCAAAGAAATTAATTTGTATTCATTTTGTCAGCCAGTATTTTATCCAAAAGGATCAAACTTTATAGATAGACTGTAAATCACCTTAAAATTTGTGGTTCCGGGGCTTCCCTGGTGGCACAGTGGTTAAGAATCTGCCTGCCAATGCAGGGGACACAGGTTCGAGCCCTGGTCCGGGAAGATCCCGCGTGCCAAGGAGCAACTAAGCCCGTGTGCCACAACTACTGAGCCCACGCGCCTAGAGCCCGTGGTCCACAACAAGAGAAGCCATAGCAATGAGAAGCCCACACACCATAACAAAGAGCAGCCCCCGCTCACCGCAACTAGAGAAAGCCCACACACAGCAACAAAGACCCAATGCAGCCAAAAATTAATTAATTAAATTTTAAAAAATATATGTGGTTCCTTGGTCAGACCCCAACCCAGTATCTTTATTAAATCTGAAAATCTGTTGTACCTATACACTATAACCCAGCACTACTCTGGTCAACTGAAGTTATTAACCAACAAGTTTTGGGATAAGAGCCCATGACAAAAAGCTAGGTAGTTATCCTACAAATCTTTAAGATGATAGGTTATGCAAGATAAATCTGTTTCAAATAAATTCCATTGTAATTATTCTTGACCCAACCCACTTGAAAGCATAAAACCTATTAAGTGATTTGCAGCTCTTTTAAGATTTAAAATATAATAAGCAGCTTTCTTTGTCTGGTCCCACATAAAGCAGGTTAGATGAGTTTAGAATGAGAACTTGAAAACTCTGAAGAAGACGATGATTTTGAAAGCAGCTGCTGAGACAAGTCAGGTGGAAAGCAAAAGTTAGGGAGGAGGTGACAAGCTGACAGCCCTAATGATTCTACTTCCACTCACACTAAATCCTGGTTAGGAGGGAACAGCTCCTCTTTTCAGGTATAACAGATACCAAGTTCAAGCGTCAGAACATATCTTTAACTTCCAAAAAGTTAAAATTTTTGCAGGCTACCCACAAATATACACCTTGCTGTGTGCCTAACTAAGGAAAGAACTATAAATACGCACAAACTTTTAGTGCAAATTTATAAAATTTAGGCTCAAAGCTGATTACGGAAACAAACACTCATGTACCAGAGATTTTTTTAATAACCTATCACTTTCATTAAGTGGCATGATTTTTAAAACATAATCTTCTACTTATTCTTCAAACTTTTCAAGTCTGTAGTTGTAATTAGAAGTTAAAGACAGTCTTTAAAAAGAAAGATCCATTAACATGGTAAGAGTGAAAGCAGAAACATCTTAATGATTAATCTGTCCCATTGTTATCAAACACACTTATAGACACACCATTTTAGCAGAAAATAGCCAAATTCATATTCAACATTAAAACTTTTCGGCACCTTGATGTTGTTTCTGTCTCCCTGCAGTAAAATCAGTATTACTTTACCCATGAACATCAGTCTTCCTGTCAGCCTTAAATCGGAAGCCCACTTCTCCACACTTTTGACATATTTGGTCTTTGCTCTCATATGATCTAAATGCAAAAGAGTCATCCACAATCCATCATCCACAGTCGTGCTTGCTGCAGAAGTGCACTTTTCACTGCCACCTCCAGCTTCTGGCCGCTTGAGGATGTGCCTGAGATTCTGCTGAATCCAGAGAACTAGCTCATGAACCATAGGTTCTGACAAAAGGGTCTCTGCTTGCTCCAGTAACTTCTCCTTCACAATCTCACGCTCAGCCCTGGTCAGGTGTTCGGAGTTAACCACAATACCAGGCAGACACGACGGGTAATTAACCGGTAAATGGAACACCAATCGTAAGGGTATATCCGCATCCATAAATCCTTCGGCTCTTGTGAGAATTCTGAACACAGTTCCATCTGTCTCTGGAAAGCATCCAAAAATAATGATTAGCTGTACCTAATTCAATTTGAATGGAACACTAACAAGTTAGAATTTTTGTTTCAAGTGTCAATTTATTTTTCATGTGAAAACTAAGTTATTTTACGAAGAGATACATCACACTAAGAAAGCCATGATTTACAGATTCTTACTTTCAGCCATACATATATAGTCATAGAATCATGCTCACCAGCACCCAGGATTTCACTGGCATTTATAATTGCCATTATCCCATTTTTATTAAGGTTACCAGAAAGGTTTCTCATCATATGATGTTCTTCCTCCCCAGACTTAGTTGATAATTCAGAAATTCCTAATAAACTCATATGAACATTCAAAGAAACAGTATTGTGTATTTATAAAATCAGTGATTAGTTTAAAAGTTATACACTAAATCCAGTGAAAGTCATGTTGCAGTGAGTCTGAATCAAACCAAATACTGGATCCCGTGTGGTTGCAGGGGTACAGAGCAAACCATGACTGTGCATACACAGTAACTGCCTGGACCCGCTCTTTTTCACTTCAAATATATTCGTATCAGTGTAACATGAAGGCAGCGGGAGGAACTAAAATTGGGCAGACATCAGTTCAGCTGTTTCTGGCTCCATAAGGAGGAGGGGGAAAGGGGAAAGCGCACACAGGATACGAGATGAAACACTCTGCTCTCTTTCAGATTTGCTCCACTTCACCCCTCTGATGTGTTCCACACCACTTCACCCCACTTTTCAAAAGTTGATAAAACGTCAGGCTGATTCATTCTGCAGGGGGCAGAAGCACACAGATCAGAAGAGCAGAGTAGAACCGAACTGGGTGCTGACGAGGCTCTTTGAAGCTAACTTGCCTCCGTCTACCCTACTTCTTTCTCCACAGCCCTTGTTTCATTCTCCTTCACAAGACAGGCAGTCAGATTGTTCTAATTTTCATACCTGGATCGCTGCTCAACACCCTCAACAATGGAAACCTGAGTGCATTCCCATTTTAAAGAACCTAACAGAACATTAAAACGGCTCTCTAGCCATCCAATTCCATTTATACAGAAGCTGTTGTTACAGACATGGATTCATATAGGACCAAACACATCCATTACACCAGGTTTTTCTTTAATAGAACCTTCAGTATCAGCTGCAAAGCACTGCCGTTTTAGGACACCACCCCGAAACCCAGGCAGTAACCATTATAAAGATCACATTAGGCGGCTTCCCTGGTGGCGCAGTGGTTGAGAGTCCGCCTGCCGATGCAGGGGACAAGGGTTTGTGCCCCAGTCCGGGAAGATCCCACATGCCGCGGAGCGGCTGGGCCTGTGAGCCATGGCCGCGGAGCCTGTGCGTCCGGAGCCTGTGCTCTGCAACGGGAGAGGCCACAACAGCGAGAGGCCTGCATACCACAAAAAAAAAAAAAAAAAAAAAAAAAAATCACATTAGGGCTTCCCTGGTGGCACAGGGGTTAAGAATCCACCTGCCAATGCAGGGGACACGGGTTCGAGCCCTGGTCCGGGAAGGTCCCACGTGCCGTGGAGCAACTAAGCCCGTGCGCCACAACTACTGAGCCTGTGCTCTAGAACTCGCAAGCCACAACTACTGAGCCCGTGTGCCACAACTACTGAAGCCCGCGTGCCTAGAGCCTGTGCTCTGCAATGAGAAGCCACCGCAATGAGAAACCCGTGCACCGCAACGAAGAGTAGCCCCCACTCGCCGCAACTAGAGAAAGCCCGCGCGCAGCAATGAAGATCCAACACAAAAATAAATAAATAAAATAAATAAGTTTATTTAAAAAAAAGATCATATTAAAGTGATGTAACTTAAATTTGTATTACATAAGTAAAATATATGCTGCATAAAGGAAGATTTTCCAAACAACTTAGTACATTCCTCTAAAATCCATCACCAGCTTCTCAAAACCCTTCTTTCTTCTATCCTGTTACTTATCCTTTGTAAAAAATATTTTATTATTAAAGTAAGCTCCCTAGATGTCAGTTAGATCACTGCACTTCACTAGATAAAATGGACATTATAAATAGACCTACAGACATGTGACCACTAGGCTAAAAAAACCCTCCAGAAATCATCTAGAGGGTCCACTTTCCCTCTCAAGGGGGAGGTATAACTTTTAAAGCTCTTCATTCATCATTCAACAAACATTCACTGAGTACCTACTAGGCCCAAGGCACTGTTCTAGTCTGAGAGAAAACAACGGGTAAGACACAGATCCTGTCCTCTTAAGTCAATCCAGTTTCATAACATGAAATAGTGGACAGAGCCAAAGTGATCTTCCTCAACTTCTCTTCTACACCTAAAAATGTCTTTACTTATAAACATACATACATATAATTTCTATAAACCTGTATTTTATATATTTTTTTTATTTCCATGGAGATAACTCTCCATGGGAATAGCATTTTTTAATGTTTTCTGAACAAAAGGTGCCTCCCTGCTGACAACTTGACTACAGCCCCGTGAAAATGATTTCAGACTTCTGACCTCCAGAACTGTAAGAGAATAAATATGTGTTGTTCTAAGACACCACATTCGTGGTTATTTGTCACAGCAGCCACAAGAAACTAACACAGCATCTGTGCTCACAAAGCAAGGTTTTCCCCGCAAGCAAGGCTCCCTTTCTGGTAAAAACCCTGAAACCTAGAGTGTTCTCCAATCTCTGCCACCTAAACAGCCACCTATTCCTCCCCAGGGCAGTGACCTAACTGACAGAAACAGGCAGTCCAGGGAGAAGGTCTGGAAAGCCTACTGAGCTGGCTCTTCAAATCCTTACCAACTTTCATTCTTCTCTCTTAGTGATTTTCTGGCCCTAGTCAGCAAAGAGAAAAGCAACAGGAGAAAATCCTGACTTCTGCCTTAGAAAACCGTGAAATTATTAGTTATAAGCTTAGAAGGAAAACTGCTTTAATTTTATCAAGAATTGGAAAGGATTAACAACCTTCCTACTTGGTCTTCTCTTTGACTCCCTCCGTAGCTACACACACACACACACACAGACACACACAGACACACAGACACACACACACAGACACACACACACACACACACACACACACACACACACACACACACACACACACACAGGAGCTGCAAGCTGAAATTACACAAAATGATGCTATCTCTGTAAGAAAATGAAAATCCCAACAACATACCCCATTCTGCTGATACTTAATGCAGGAATAAAATTACGTATTCTTTTAAAAACTCATTTTCTCCCTAAAACTCTAGAAGTATGTATATTACCCTTCCATTTCTCATCTGCCTTAGTTTGTACATGCAATTAAACTGGCTCTTTTTTCCTCAGAATTTTTCATGTAATCACATGTACTGTCAGTCTGATTTTGGGGTTTTTTTTTCCCATTAAAAAAAGAAAACAAGGTTGTCCCTATCTACTTTATTAACAGCTTAGAAACAGAGTGATTAACAGAAAAATAATGGTGTTCTACATCTAATGCTAATCTCTGGCCTTCCCTGGCACCAAAAAACTCTAGTCATTAAGTTTAACTCACAAACTCATCATTCTCAATAAAATCTATGCCCTAGAAAATTTATGCCTGCCCTACAAATCTAAAATTTTCATGAGTTCCAAGACTATTTTCATCTGTTCTAAAGATCCTACCAAAAGATGTAAGTTTTGCCTCTGGTTGAAGCTTGCATACATATTCCCTAGTTTGGGTTTTTTTGGTTTTTTTAAATAAGTCATTGTACCTTAAAATAAGTATATCAATTTCATAACTAAAATAGGTTAGTTTCAAACCTTATTCTTCCTTACAAGTACATGAAGGAAACTATGCTCCTAACCACACTCCAAACAACAGAAATTCAAACGAGAGAAACTGAACTGAACCCCAAATTCCATACTGTTATTTTTAAGACTTCACTCTACTTCATAATCACACACAATAAAAATTCAATAAATGCTGTCCAATAACAGAAGATAGTGGAAAATGTAAACAAAATTTAAGAGGATGAGTTCTTCAAGATTCATTTAGAGCCCATTAAGAAATCATTTATATACCATATACAACTGAATTTCCCTATACTTGCTTTTTTTTTTTCTTTTTTGCAGTTTTATATGTCCTCAGGGTAAGACTTTGTTCAGAAAACCACTAAAAAGCCCCCAACACCCTCTCTTACCTCACTGCACAGGATTTTTTTCCTCTCGCTCTCAGGTGGCTCCCCACAAGTATACAGCCACCAGTGCTTCTTTTTATGTTACAGCTGGAATTTTATACATGTTAAACGTGGTTACAGAAAAAAAAAATAAACGAAAAATAAGTGAAGCTAAAAGTGGCAATCCCATCCTTTAGACGTGAAGTTCAAGGCTGATTTGTTTTTAGAGATGACCTCAGTACTGACCATCAGCAGGACACAGGGCTGAGCAGATTTAGAGGGGTCAGTGGGTGACAGTCATGATTCATTTTGCAAGACGGCCCAATCCAATCTGAGCATTAGTGTTAGCAGAATACAAAAAGCTACTCTGAAGCTACCGTGCGAACATATCATATGATATTGAGTCTTACACACCTCCCATTTTATAACTGTTTTATCTGTAAGATGATTTCCAGAAACACAACTCCACATATAATGAGCACTAACTATGGCAATATAATCTCTGTGACCTTCAATTACCTCATCAGGAAAATGAAGATTTATAACAATACCAAATCCCATCTACCTCATAGGTACCTACACAGGCATGCACACACACTCCCCTTCAGAACTATTCTGAACATAAGTGGGGTCATCCCCGTTTCTCTGCTCTGGGTGCTCTTCTTGCTCTCTTCTTCCTGGACAGGTGTCATCCTTGCTCTCCAAGAACTGTTTTCCTGACGCAATGGCCGCATCTCTGTTAAGCAGCATGACGCAATGCAAGAGTCCATATACTCTGGAGCCTGGTGGTTACTCAACCAGCCTGAGCATCTGTTACCTTCTTTATAAAATAAAGTTAAGAATACCCCTCATCGGGCTTCCCTGGTGGCTCAGTGGTTGAGAGTCCGCCTGCCGATGCAGGGGACACGGGTCCGTGACCCAGTCCGGGAAGATCCCACATGCCGCGGAGTGGCTGGGCCCATGAGCCATGGCCGCTGAGCCTGCGTGTCCGGAGCCTGTGCTCCGCAACGGGAGAGGCCACAGCAGTGAGAGGCCTGCGTACCGCAAAAAAAAAAAAAAAAAGAATACCCCTCATCAAGTAAGATGCATTTAAAGTATCAGGTCTGTGGTAGGTGACCCCATTAAACCTGGCACCCTGTCTGACTGCACTGCACAGGGAGAAGCAGAATACCCCTGGTTTGATCTGCCCACAGCCCTCCCTAGTGGACAGGAATAGGAGCTTACATAACTTGCACCCATCAGAGACAGTTACACCTGATGCCTCTTATGAGCTTTCTACAACCATCACAAAGAGGCCACAGTGTATGTAAGTCCCCTGAAATTCTCAGCACAAATTAGTCCAGCTAAAAGAATCCAACTATTCAAACTCTTCAATCTTATGACCTTCATAGATGACCCTAGGGTTAGCAGCCTGAGCCTGCCTGGGCTATCTCGTACCAGAAGTGCAATCCTACCCAATGTTAACCTGATTCCAGTGGCAACAAGGAGCAGCTTACTTGAGGGGAAGGCCAGGAAGGAACTGATGGTGTTCAGAATGTTCTTACATCCTCCAACCCAAGCTGACAGTGACCATGACAGTGGTAGCCAGCAGCCCACTGTATATTTACTGAGGTCTATTAAAGAAGTCCTTACCTTACCCTTAATTCCCAGTTGTGAACATCAAACGTCCCAATTTCAATCACTGAATTGTTCTATTCTCCAATGAACCTTTCAGCAACAAAATGTCCTAAGTTGTTACACTGAATTCTTTTATAATTCAATTACTTATTGATGCCAAAACACTGAATTAAATTAATTAGGAGGCATGGCTTGAAAGTCATGCTCAATTTAACAGCAGATAAAGGGCCCACAGTGCTCTTCATATTAAGAAATTGCTCTTTCTTTCTTTCTATGCTTACTTTTTTGGGTTTTCTCTGACCTGTCAGCAGTGTCGTATGCTCAACCATACTCATGACCCAGACCACCACCATTCCATCCTCTTTCAGGTGTAATGGGAAATCATAGGTTCATTTTCCCAGGATATTCCTAGTTGAGCCATAATAAAGGAATTTAAGAAAACTGATGATCTCTTCAAACAGCCTGCCTCAAGCAGAAGTAATTATCAATAAAGAGAGCCAGAGACAGCAAAGTAAGATGATGAAGAATAACAAATGCTATCCAATCAGAAGAGAGGTGACGAGAAAATACTAAAAGTGAGTAAATCCTTTCATATGGATTTTAAACAATTGTTTCAGAAAGCTACAAGACAGGCTAGGCACTGAAAAGAAAGCGGCTTCATTACATGAATTGGTTCACAGTGCCCAGAACATAACAGTGCTCAATGAACGTATAGACACGGGTGATCAAGAAAGAATAAATGAAAAGGAGCCAACTCCTGCTCTGTAGGTGAATAACACACCACGTAGATACCAGGAATGGATCCTAACCCTTGATGGCTTTCTCACAACATTCAGAACATTTTAGACTACCTTCTTAAAGGTCAACCAATTTATGGTCAGAAGGACAATTTTAATAGTAGCTGAAACATAACAGAAGTTTAAATCTTATGCCAAAAAATTCACAGAATGTATTTGAAAGCTATGCCAAAAAATTCACAGAATGTATTTGAAAGCTAAGTAAAAACTGAAAATTATGTGCATCACTGCACTTTTTCATAAACTGAAGTTTTGGTTTTTACTTAATAGACGCCATAGACAGGCAGAGAAGAAGTTTTCACTATCATGAAAATATAGCCAAAAGAACCGTTCTAGATTGTAAGCTCCTAAAGGCCCTGAGCAGTCAGTGTCTTTGAAACCCTGTCAGCGCTTCCGGGGACTCAATAAATGAGCTGAATGATTAATGCGCCCCCAAGAGCCTGTAATTGGCAACCACCTTTCAGCCGACTAGAAAAAGCAGGAGAAAAGCAATCAAACTGAAGAGTCCTGACTGAGCACTGGTCGAATTCAAAAATTCATTTAACAAACATTTACTGCATACCTACCACGTGCCTGGCACTGTCGTAGGTTCCTGGAGTTTTGTGATTACAAAACGGACAGGGTCCCTGCCCTCTTGCAACTTGAAACAACCAAATACCCATATAGTTAAACTGTGGTGGGTGCCCTGAAGGACATAATGCGTGGTGCTTACAAAGCACGTAGTTCAATTTGGGGAAGCTGGATTTAAACTAGGGGTGTCACGAGAAACCTCTTTTCACGGTCAGATCTGACGGGTAAGTACAGGACGGCCAGGGAAAGCGTGGGGGGGGGGGGACGCTTTCCAGGAGGGCGCGGCTGGCTCGTAGCGCTCAGCGAGTTGAGGAGACAGGCGAGTCAGAGAGTGCAACGGCAGAGTGGGGACGGGGGGTAACGGCGGATGGAGGGGGAAGGGCGAGTGCGACGGGAGAGTGGAGGGTGGGACGGACGAGTGGGTGGAGCGGCGCGGGAAGCAGGAACCGGTCCACGGGCCGCAAGAGCCTGAGCATTATGCTGTCCGTTCACTGCAGAGGAGCGAGCAGGGGCGCGATACTATTCACGTTTTGGGGGTCGCCGCACTCTCCCGCTAGCTTCCACACACGCCCAGTCCCGGGGCGTGTCGTTCCCTCATTCAACTACCCCGGCCCCCAAGTGTGGGCCCGGGGCGGGGAGCCCAGCCTTGGTGGTGGGGAGCAGAGGGCGCCCAGTCCGTCTGGCGGGGGGTAGTCACCTGAGCGATTCAGCACTTCCCACTCGCCGGGCCCGCAGAAAATCGCACCAAGGGCCGAGAGCTCCTCCCGCACCGGCTCCGCCATGGCCGCGCCGCTCGGCTGGCTCAATACCTCCCCTTCCGCCTTCCGCCGCCGCCGCCGCCGCCGCCCCCGCCGGCCCCGAGCAGCGCTGCAGGGCTGCCACCGGGGGGCGCCCCGCGTCTCCGCAGCGCGCGGCGGGCGGGAGGCCCCGAGAAGCCCCGCCCACAAGCTCCCGCTCACTTACTCCAGACGCGAGGCTCCGCGCCCTCTCGGGGGGGTTCTGTCCGAGGGGGAAGGCCCCGTGGTGTCTGCCAGAGGTCACCGTGCAGCTCACCCGCTGCTTTCCTGACGGAGGGAGGCCTCCCAGCAAAGCCCGAAATTCTCTAACTTTAGCTCGGGCTTTGAACACTAGCCCTTCCCGCCCAGACTTGGCCTTGAAAGGAACTTGGAGGTTAAGAGGAGAAAACAAGCAGCGAAGTGACCAGAAGAGGTTAGCCTCTGTCTGGCTCAGAACTAAACTAGGTGTTGGGGGTACTGCAGTTAACAGAACAGACGAGATTCTCCGCCCTCCTGGAGGCACTAGCGACCCAGGCGGTCTGGGACACCCAGAAAACGTCCGGGGTAGGAGCAACCTCCAGATGCTGAGAGGCAACTGGAGCTCGGACTCTGGACCAGAACCGGGTTTCTGGGACGTCCTTCTCCTAACAACGGTTGCAGAAGGGGAGGGTTGGACCTACCACCTCTGGCATTCTAAGGATGTGACTGGGGTGACCCAGAACCTTTGGAGGAGCTATGCACCCGGGTGCTGGGAGCAACGACGTAATTTCCCATTTGTCTCCCGCCTTCACAGGGGACAGACCTGCTGAAATCGGCCAGGAGAACTCCTGGGCCTTTAGGGGTACAAAAAGTATGAAAATGTAGCAAACGCTAGCTTTTCAGTATTACTTATTTTGTGATATTTGATGCATACAAAGCAATGTGATTCTTGAAGTTCAATAATGAAATGCTCATCCTTGAACTCAGCACTTAAATCTAAGATTGTTTGCAGTTCCAATAGAGTAACAGAATTATCAATCCATTCTGTTTCAACTTTGATTTCGTGAACAAGGTTACAGTGATTGTGTGTGATAGTTCTGTCAGTCAGCATCTTTGGCTTGTCCTTTTGTTTGTCAGGTAACAATTTAAAATTTTGCAGCCTCAGATAGTAGCTGGTCTAGCTCATGGAGGTCCTACAATTTTTTGTTTGTATCAGAGATAACATTTTCTGAGATAAATAAGGGATGTAGATGGCTACACAGTGACTCCTGACATTGACCTACAGAAGTCAGGAAAATGGGGCTGATTTGAAGACTGGATTCATGTTACCATCATCAGCATCATTCCCACTGTTACTAAAAAGAGGTTTTAAAAAGGAAAAGATACTGGCTTCCGAGAACAGAAAGGAAATCCAACAAGATAAACTGCAGGAGAAATGCTTCTCAGAGGATGCCATGGGATTTCAGTGACCCCAAGCAATTAAGAGCACTGCTGTGTACATAACTGGAAAGACAAAGGTTTATTTAAACGCATAATTGTCTCTGATGTGGCCAATTTTTGTTTAATAATAATAATAACTCCTTTGAGTTATTTCCAAAATAGCAGTTCAGTAGGTTCATAATTAGCTGCTAAAGAGTTTGGTGAACAAAAGAATAAATTTTTAATTTAAAATATCATTAAATTCTTTTTGATTTTAGCTTGAAGTCCAATGTTAGTATTAAAAGTGGTAGGAAAGGGCTTCCCTGGTGGCGCAGTGGTTGAGAGTCCGCCTGCCGATGCAGGGGACAAGGGTTCATGCCCCGGTCCGGGAAGATCCCACATGCCGCGGAGCGGCTGGGCCCGTGAGCCATGGCCGCTGAGCCTGTGCGTCCGGAGCCTGTGCTCCGCAACAGGAGAGGCCGCAACAGTGAGAGACCCGCGTACTGCAAAAAAAAAAAAAAAAAAAAAAAAGTGGTAGGAAAATATTAATTTAGTTGTTGATTGACCAAATTTTAAAGATTGACCAAAAATCAAGTAGTTCATTTCTTATTTTTAATTTCCCAAATTCAGTATAAGTGGTATGAGTGAAATAATGTGAACAGTAAGACTACAGCCGTCAGAAATATTTGGAGGCAGTCCCTAAAGCCTGCTGTCACCAAGGTGATGTAAGAGTACCTCAATCTATTTAAAATTTTCTTGTCAGTAGGTTTCTTCTTTGCTCTTCCTTTCTTCATTGATTTCTTAACCTGCTTCTCATACTCCATTTAGTATGTTTAAATAAAAAAGAAGTCGATATGAATGTCTTTTAAATTGATACTATCCTAAGGCCCTGAAGTCCCATGAATAAGTTACTACTCTCTGACATTTGGAAGTAATCAACACAGAGAAAGCATAATGTCAGCTTGATATTTCTCACACTATGAAAATATCAGCTACATGTCAAATATCTAAAGCCTACCTTAAAGCAATAAGTTTTCTTGTATTCATAAGCTACTGAAAATTCTAAATATCTAAATGTGCTATGATGTCTAGACATGTGGATGAATGTCTGGTTAGAACATTTCTCTTTCTCTCTCCACTCACCTGCCCCCAGTAGTGTATGGTTTCCTAGAACAATATTATTTATACATGCAACTTTTCTAAATAGTTGCTTTCCCAAGACCATACAAAGGAGTAGCTTTAAATCTCTCACCTCCAGTTAAAACCACTTGCCCAAGAGAGTTATTTTAACTTTTCTAGGAAAACGTTTCTACTCACTTTATCATGTGTAGTATGTAGACTTAAATATTCAACTCTGTCTGCAATTTTAAGTCAAACCTTGTAGAATTGGGCATAGACATGAGAACACACAATTTTAAGAGTATTAAGAGAGGTTAAGTGTTAGTATCATGTCAAAAAAGCTGAGAATCCTAATTCTGAAGTGAGTGGGGGTGTGATAAGAAAAGTGATCATATTAAGACCATGAGGCAAGTAAAAATGCCTTCAAGAACCACTAAGAGGGCTTCCCTGGTGGCACAGTGGTTAAGAATCCCAGTGGTTAAGAATCCCAGTGCAGGGCTTCCCTGGTGGCGCAGTGGTTGAGAGTCCGCCTGCCGATGCAGGGGACACTGGTTCGTGCCCCGGTCCTGGAAGATCCCACATGCCGCGGAGCGGCTAGGCCCGTGAGCCATAGCTACTGGGCCTGCGTGTCCGGAGCCTGTGCTCCACGGCGGGAGAGGCCACAACAGTGAGAGGCCCGCGTACCACAAAAAAAAAAAAAAAAAAAGAATCCCAGTGCAGGGGACACGGGTTCGAGCCCTGGTCCAGGAAGATCCCACATGCTGCAGAGCAACTAAGCCCGTGCACCACAACTACTGAAGCCCGAGTGCCTATAGCCCGTGGTCTGCAACAAAAGAAGCCACCGCCATGAAAGCCCACGCACCACAACGAAGAGTAGCCCCCCTGCTCGCCGCAGCTACAGAAAGCCCACACGCAGCAACGAAGACCCAACGCAGCCAAAAATAAATAAATAAATAAATTGGGTGGGGGGGAACCACTACGAGTAGGGGACTTCCCTGGTGGTCCAGTGGTTGAAAATCTGCCTTCCAGTGCAGGGGACGTGGGTTCGATACCTGGTTGAAGAGCTGAGATCCCACATGCTGTGGGGCAACTAAGCCCACGTGCCGCAAGTACTGAGCCTGCGTGCTCTGGAGCCCATGCACCACAGCTAGAGAGAAGCCCCTGCGCCACAACAAAAAGCCCCGCCACGAAAAGATCCCGCATGCCACAGCTAAGACCCGACACAGCCAAAAATAAATAAATAAATAAGAACCACTAAGAGTAAAGAACAAGAAAGGCATTAAATGCCCATTTGCCAAATGAACCTGAACTCCAATAAGCTGTGTGCTACTGGTTTTGTCTAAAGGCTTTCTGTATTTACTCACTTCGTAAGTGCTCTTGGGCGCTCGTTGACTGTTGGTCGGGTCAACAAGCTGTTTTAAGATACAGAGAGGAGGGGCTTCCCTGGTGGCGCAGTGGTTGAGAGTCCGCCTGCTGATGCAGGGGACACGGGTTGGTGCCCCGGTCCGGGAAGATCCCACATGCCGCGGAGCGGCTGGGCCCGTGGGCCATGGCCGCTGAGCCTGCGCGTGTGGAGCCTGTGCTCCGCAACGGTAGAGGCTGCAACAGAGAGAGGCCCGCGTAACGCAAAAAAAAAAAAAAAAAAAAAAGATACAGAGAGGAAAGCAGCAAGCCTTTGCTCTCTTCAGTCTTTGGTCTAGACAAGTAAACCCAACGTGCTGCAATTGCAAGTTCTTTCATCCTGCTGAGGCTACAAGAATTTCCACATTCCCTGACTGGTGTGACGCTCACTATCATGGTAGAGGTGAAAGCGAAGGGGCGCTGCGTGACATGTAACTCTGACAACTTCCCAGAGGAGAAATATGTCTGTAATGCTCAGGAGCATAGTAGATTTCCAAAAGGACAAAAAAGTCAGTGGTGTTGATTGGTCCTAGTTATTTGTGTTCCGTTACCGTGTGCGAGTCACAAATTTATTTTTCACCCAGATAACAAAATAAAAGCAAGTCAAATGTGTAAGAATTTGATACTGACACTGTAATCATACCCTTTTGTGGAAAGATCTGCCTCCACCTTGTCCAAGTAATCTGTACTCCCTCCAAAAAATTGGTCACATTCTGCCTGGGAGAAACATGCTTGATTCTCACACATGAGCGATACCAAAACAGTTTCAGCTTGCTTTGTGGGAAAACATCCACATGGCCCAGGTTCACTGACATAAAAGTTCAATGCCTTATCAATGTTATAAAAACAAGTCTTCGGTATCATTAGGGATTTAGACTTTGTCTAATGCCCAATAGTTAATTTTGATTACTACTGTAAGTGTATCCTTTTTATTCATTGTATTTTGCCAGTGCATATTACTAGTTTAGCGAGTTTTTATTATCTGGCGGGATGGGGGGAGGGGGTCCGCAGGGCTGGGGACTATGTGAATTTTATAAAAAATCTTTTTCTCCAAACTCGTAAAGGGACTATAAATGAGTAAATGCTGCCATTTTGGCAAAATAGATTCTCAGTGGTTGACAATTAAAAGGGAGTATATCAAAAAATCAAAACTGTGACTGGGAAAATTAGACCTGGATCTCCTTAAAAAAAAAAAAGAGTGGGGGCCCCATAAGCAGAAGATGTATTAGCTGCAGAGAGAGGGAGGGGAAAAGGGAGAGAGAAAGGGAAAAAAGAAGGAAGGGGGAGGGGCAAAGAGGAGAACTAGGAAGATGAACGCTTTAGAAGGTGATGTGAAAAGGATGATTTTTATGAAGTGAAGGAAACCAGGATTTAGGAATTCGACTTTATTTCTAGAAGAAGATTGATTTATCAGCTTTTTACACATAGAGAGACCTGAAACTTTATTCAGTAATAATACAAGGCCTGAGGTTTGCTTCAAAATAACGTAGGAAGGGGCTCCCTGGTGGCGCAGTGGCTAAGAATCTCCCTGCTAATGCAGGGGACACGGGTTCGAGCCCTGGTCCAGGAAGATCCCACATGCCGCGGAGTAACTAAGCCCATGCACCACAAATACTGAGCCTGTGCTCTAGAGCCCGCGAGCCACAACTACTGAGCCCGCACGCCACAACTATGGAAGCCCACGTGCCTAGACCCTGTGCTCCGCAACAAGAGAAGCCACCACAATGAGAAGCCCACACACCACAACGAAGAGTAGCCCCCGCTCACTGCAACTAGAGAAAGCCTGCGCGCAGCAACAAAGACCCAATGCAGCCAAGAATAAATAAATAAAATAAAATAAAATAAAATAAAATAATAACATAGGAAGGGGGAAGAAGCTGGGGAATGGATGGAGCTGACTTGACCGTAGGTAAATAATTGGTGAGGCAGAGTTGTGGGTACAGGATTTGGCATTTTATTCTATTTTTGTATATTTTATACTCTCTATAATAAAAGTTAATTTTTAAAATGTGATTGGTAGATAATATATCAAGATACTTGAAATTTGCACAGTACTCAATTAAGGAAAAAAGGACAGAAGTAAAAGGGATAAATAGGAGCGAAGGGAAAAGAAGAAAAGAACTGGAGCTAAGTAGAGAGAACAGAGTTGGTGAAGGACATGAAGAGAGAAGATAACAGGTTCTAAAGTGATATGTTCAACAAATGCATGACTTCAGAATTTGTTCAGGTGAGAGAAGCACAGAACCTAAAACTTCGGTGTCTTTCACAAGATACAAGTGGTTTTCTCTTAGACCTTCAAATAGAGGGAGGCAGGCAGAGCTGCTGGGCCCCTCCGTGTGAGGCTCCAAACTCCTCTTGTTTTTTGGATTGACTTAATTTTAATGTTTTTTAATTTTTATTGGAGTATATTTGATTTACAATGTTGTGTTAGTTTGAGGTGTACAGCAAAGTGAATCAGTCACACATATACATATATCCACTCTTTCTTTAGATTCTTTTCCCATTTGGCCATTACAGAGTATTGAGTAGAGTTCCCTGTGCTATACAGTAGGTCCTGGTTAGTGATCTATTTTATATATAGTAGTGTGTATATGTCAGTCCCAATCTCCCAACTTATCCCTCCCCCCGCCCATCCCCTGGTAACCATAAGTTTGTTTTCTACATCTGTGACTCCTGTTTTGTAAATAAGTTCATTTGTCCAAACTCTTCTTCTGTGGCTCTGCTCCCCACAGCTGGGACCCCCTCGGTCATGCCATGGTCTGGGGTGGCCACTGGGGCCCCAACCACCAAGTCTACATGTGGTCAGGAGAATGGGGCTCAGGCATACCCCACTGGCTGAAATTTAGTCGCATGAGTGCTCCCAGCTAAAAGGGGGGCCAGGAAATGTCATTTTTATTCTTGGAGGCCATGTACCCAGCTAAAGGTGGAGGAAGAAATGAAGTATTCTCGTCATTATTTCTTTCTTATTATGGAGAGAGGGAAAACAGCACCAGGAGACAGCTGGCAGTCCCCGCATGAAGTCAAGTTTTGACCAAGAGGTTAAGTAGTCACATACCATAATTCTGTAGAGCTCACCCTTTCCGTGTCCCTCGACCCCCACCTTTACTCCTTGTCTCACTGTCCCATTCTATTTTTCCCACAACATTTACCATTACCTGAAATCTCGTTTATTTGCTGACAAGCATCTCATGGTTGCCCCAGAGAGAGCAGGATGGCCTCCCACCAGTACCACCAAATTGGTTCAGGTGTCCAGAGTGACGAGGACACACAGGCCCCAAAAGGGTCTGAGAGGGTCTGTTACTCACAAGCTGAGATTTTCTGGGAAGAGCAGGGCCTGAATGAAGGCAGGGGCCATTGGCTCTGGGGTTCATCTGGTTAAGGGCGGGGCTGGGCTGGAGCTCTCCTCGGCACCACAGGGGTTTCTGTGGTCTGAAGGAGAGAGGGAGTGCCCAGACTTTCTTACCCACTTTCCCAGAGGCGAGACAGAGGGGAAAGGGGGGGGGGGGGCTTGAAAGCCGTGGGCAGTCTAACATCAAAAACAGAGTCAGGCATGTCTACTGTCTATCTCCACTAGCATTCTAACTCCCACGAAGCCAGGAGCCCTATCACCTCGGTATCCTCCACGTCTAAAACAGCACCTGGCAAATCAGGAATGCACTAAACATATATTTTAATACAAATAAACTCACTGCAAAGTTCATAAACTCTTCATAACAATTGCGTATTCTACTGGATCACGCAGTGCCTACCATATGCTAGTGACTTCGTGAGGACTCAGGCATTCAAGACTATTAAATAAGACATCACTGCCCTCCAGGAGCTCCAAATCGTCTAGGAGACATCAACCTTTCCTGGGGTGGGGTGATGAGTGTCCTGCCAGGTGAACGGAAGGCCATCAGAGGAGGCCCAGGAAAAGCCTGGTTTGGCTATTGTGTTAGAGGTTCCCCATCACAGGGCCAGGGGAGGAGGAGGAAAACTACAGGGAAAGATGGCTGGAGAGAGATCTCCGCTTTCATTCTTAACAAGCCTTTATTGAGCGCCTTACTATGTGCTGAGTATTACACTGGGTCCTGGTGAAACTGTGGTTGCAGTGAAGTGAGGGAGACAGGTCTTAAAAGACCACACATTTGGCAATGGGCAGCCTGTTGAAATCATGGAGTAGATGAGATTGCCTGCCCACATCTCAAGAATTTCACAATGAAGGTGATGTTATTTCTCAGCAGTTGGAACAGAGAAACACTGGTTTGCCAGTTTCTAACACAATCTGCGTCAGAACGATAGTTGCTTTGTGGTAGTGTGTATGTATTTCCCTGTTGTTTTCATTTATTTGTTTTACTCTGTGTTTAGTGAGGAGAAAAATCAAGCCGAGAAAACAGAAAAAAGTTTCCTTTGTGGCACTATTAGCACTTGGAAGGGTCTCTGTCTCTTGTCTCTGTCTCTCTCTCCTTTGGAATATAAAAGCTATCTGAGAATAAAACACTGGGCTAGAATACTTTGTCTGTTGTTGTTTCAGATAAAATCCTGCTATATTTATGTGATTCTTAGTGCCCTTTGAAACATTAATTGGCCAGAAATTTCTTCAATGATAGCTTCATTACTTTTAAAAGGAACATTATACTTCTGGAATAGGCAGAACCAGGGTTCCTACTATTGGGATCATATTACCAAATACTTTGTCCTTAGCTCCAATTCTCCTTTTTCGTAAGATATTTTCCCACATCTTTGCCTGGTGAATTCTTATTCATTCTTCATGTCTGAATCCCACCCATCCTTCTGAGTCTGAGTTGAAGACCCCTCCTCTACTTCCCCTCCACCTATCATATTTACACACCTGTCAGGCTGCATTATAGTTGCTCATGCGTCTACAATCCTGGTAGGGTATGACTTTCATGAGAGGAGGGGATGTCTCTCTTCCATCTTTGAAAGTATCTCCGACTCTTAGCACAGTGACTGGCATACAAAAGGAACTCGATATTTGTAGAATAAATCGAAAATGAGTGAATGCATGGTCATAGTGTCAAAGTAAATAGACTGTGCTTTGTTTTTCTTGTTACCTCTACTCTGATTCCCACCAGTTTTTTTCACCCTTGAATATGTTGATACACATCAACATCAAGCAAGCAGATTACTACCCATGTCTTTACTTGAATCACATTCAGAGGAATGAAGAAAGCATGAATGGGCAAAGGAAAGAGTGGATTACTCCTAACGAAGCCCCACAGTTTCATACAGGGGAGTGAAAAGGGAGATGAAGTATATTGTCACATTTACAGTAACTTTTAACCTGTGAGTAACAGTAGTCCACAGTTACCATTTTGCTTGACTATATTATGAACAAAGAAAAAATGAATTTTAAAGTAATTATTACAGCTAATACACAATACTAAGTCGGGAAGTCACGTGGTAGGTAAATCTATATAGTGTCTATGTCCCAAACTGAAATGGGAGCCCACATGGTACATGATCCAGTCTGGCTAGAAATATATCATATTTCCACCTGAATATGTGACTGGGGTATATATTTTATTTATTATTCAGGTTAACACTCATCATTTTAAGCCTTAGTTTTTTTGTTTTTTGTTTTTTTGTTTTTTGCGGTACGCGGGCCTCTCACTGTTGTGGCCTCTCCCGTTGCGGAGCACAGGCTCCGGACGCGCAGGCTCAGCGGCCATGGCTCACGGGCCCAGCCGCTCCGCGGCATGTGGGATCTTCCTGGACCGGGGCACGAAGCCGTGTCCCCTGCATCAGCAGGCGGACCCTCAACCACTGCGCCACCAGGAAAGCCCAATACTCATTATTTTAAAAATAAAAATGTCACTTGACAACAGGGTATTATATATAACAATGCAGCTGTAGTAATTAATTCGAAGTTATGGGACTCAGATTTTCCACTGTGTAACTCATGATCATTTAAAAAGATTCTTTTCTTTTCTCTTTTCTTTTTCTGATACTTCAACATGTTGTTGACCCATGATTTAAGTTAAAAGATAGATTATGTTGAAGGGACGGGGGATTGATGGGAGAGAGGCCCAGGGAACTTTTTGTCACGATAGAAACATTCTATTTCTTGATTGGGGTGGTAGTTGCATGAGTTTATGCCATTTAACTTTTAAGAACTGTGCATTTTATTTTATGTATAATATATCTCAATTTTTTAAAAAGAGTATTGGTGGGAACAGAAAGTGTATAATATTTTTATAAGATTTCTTCATTTTTCTGAATTTGACCTGAGTATGCCCTCGACTTGAAAGCTGAAGGGAATTATTCTTGAAATAACTGAAATATTGAAACCTTGCTGCTGCTTGATTTTTATGTATAACAACAAATCTTGGCAAGAAAAAGCTGCAGGTTTCAAGTATCTTCAAATGGCACCAACTTGTCTCTCTGTGAGTAAGATGTTAATACAAATGAAGAAGACCATCCCTTCACTCAGGGCAAGTTGTTTTTCGCCTAAAAGCTCAGCCTACCATTGTCTGTTGATGTAAAAAAAAAAAAAAAAAAAGACCGATACAAGTACACCTCATTTTATACAAACTAAAGAGCAATTATTCAAATATTATTAATGCACTAGATGAGCTCACTATTACAAATAATTTTATGATGACTTTTCTGCTAGGTGAGGAATGTGTAATGACATAGACCATCTACCATTTGTACATCAATTCTTAGATGCACATAGTTTTTTACATTTTAACATCTCTGGAATTGAAAAGCTTTATACCATGGATGGTACCTTCTATTGGCCATTGGCCAGGCAGCAGAGAAGACTGATGTGGCTTGCACGTGCATTAATTTGGTTGTTTTCCTTGATGACTTGATTTCTGGTGAGATCATGAAAATAGCAGCATCAAAATTTGCAGAATGGCAGAATGGGTATCAGCAACTTGGAAAAAGTTCTAGAATTCTAGCATTAGTGGAGCATCTTTTTTTTTTAAGAAATACTGTCTCACTGATGCTTTCGTTGGAACAAAGGATGACAAAAACAGACACCAGTGAAAAAACAGACACCAGTGCCTCCGAGTTGATGTATGATTCACAGTCGACAGACACAGAATGTGAAGTTGTTTTAGGACTACTTTAGTTATTTTGGTTATATCTTCCTGTTTATGTGTGCACAAGAGTGATATTTGATAATGTACATCTACATAAGTCTAAAAAAGCTTTTTCAAGAAGTGTAAAATAGAAACTTCAAGTGATAAGAAAGTGAGCCACAGTACAATTGGCAGCATATTTTGTTTTGTTTTGCAGTGGTACATAAAATAATGACCCATCTTACAACTGATGGCGTCTTAGAATCTATTAAAGCTGATCTTTGCACTTTTTGCATGCTTGCTTTTCAGCCAGGGGGATGGTAGAAGAGCAGGCAAGAAAGCCTTGTCATCAAATAATATCTTAAATTTATAATAATAACAATACTTTGTACTGAGTGGCTACTAAGGGCAGCTGCTATGCGAAGTGCCTATGTATATCATTACACGTAATTCTCCCCAAAAAGCCTGAGAGAGAGTTGTTACTGAGCAGACCTTTATCCCTTCTGAGCCATTAAATAACATGTCCAAGTTAAGTTTGCAAAACCGAATCTGAACCTAGTTTTGAATGACCCCCAAAGTTCTTGATCTTTGTATAGTAGATTCTTCCCCTGCCTCTCCCCCCACCCCACCATCACCGTAAGTTCAAAGTGAAAGCTTACAGAAGGTGGAGAGAGAGAGAGATGAGAATCCGGGCATCATTCAGTTTCTGTTCAGGTTGTTCTTGAAGACAGCTTCATCCTTGATCTGGTGATACAGTTCTTCCTTCAATTATGTGCACAAAATACAATATATAATGACTTTTTTCCCAAAGTGATGCCCTTAAAAAAGCACATTAAGGGAATTTCCTGGTGGTGCAATGGTTAGGACTCGGAGCTTTCACTGCCAGGACAAAAACATATTAATAAGTGATTTGCAATTGTTAAAAAATATTTGTGTATTCAATCTCAGACAATCAGTACAATTTTATAAATCAAAAATTAAACTCTTTAGTCAAAATTGTGACTTGGAAAAACAAAACATGAAATGTGATTGGAAAATTATATTATTAAATATTTCTTCCAAAAGCACTAAGCATTTTTTTCCAGCAAAAGTGGAAGTGATTCAATAAAGTAACTTCAAGTTATATATAATGTATTTGAGGAGATACTCCTCAATGTTATTCTTATTTGTGGTGTCATGTAATTCCCTGGAGCAGCTATTTCCTAACTCAGTTCAACTATGGTTTGGAATTTTTTATCGCTTTCTATGATACCTAACTTTCTTATACTCAAGAAATTATTCAGGGGCATAATTTCTCTCATTTGATCAGTACTTTGGGTAGCATTTTAATAAAAGAAATCAAGGAAAAAACAAACCTACCTTTACTAAATACTAAATCTACACAGCCTTAAATGTTCACAGCAACAGATGGGGGTCCACAGGACCACACACTGGGAAGGGCTGTACCAACCTGGCTTGCTGACTCAGCCATCGCAAGTACACATTCTGCAAGAGGAAAGATTGCCTTTCAAATTCCCCAACCCCAGATCTCCAAGCATCACAGCATCTTAATTATTCACATGTAGAGAGGCCCAGGTACTGTGCTAGTCCCAACAGTACATAAGTAAATGACTGTGAGGGCCAGGAGGAAGCAGGCTCTCCGTGCAGCTCACAAGCAGCTAGCAGCAGTGATCATCAAAATGTTAAACACTAATGCAGCTTGGGCTCTGACCAATCTAACAAACATTAGGCATAAAGATCTATACTGGCTGCAGCAGTGTACCCTGGCTGAGTGTCACCCCAGGAATAGTAGCTTGAGTGACTAGTGCAGCTTTATAGGTTACAAATATAGTTTGAAATACATTATGTCACTTAATCCTCAAAAATTATGTTATGTAGGCATTACTATCATTCTAACTTATAGGTTAGAAAATTGAGGCTTACGGAAGTTAAGTAATTTGCCATAGCTCACACAACTAGTAAGGGAAAGAGCCTAGATAAACTACCTACAGCTGCTTAACACAACCAGTTTGTTTTATTCTGTGGTTTCTCTTTCATTCTTAGGGCTAATTATAAGGACATGAAACTCACTAACGTTGACTTTTTTTAAGCTGTTCTATCTATTGAGAAATTAGAAAATAAAAAGTGACAAAAAATGTTGCTTCGGTACTTCAGCTTCATGTTATTCAAGTCACTCAGTTACCAGCAGTTCTTATTAAATGACTTTTTTCTTGGCCTATGGAAATGTTAACGACTAGTACAAGAAATACGTGCATAAGACACTTTCAGTGATATTTTTGTGAGGCTCTTTTTCACTGCTCTCATCTTCTGCTACTGTCAGCATGTTAATCTGTATCGAAAAATATGAACCAAATAGCTAACTTCCTGGATGAAATTTATGCTACAGGTTTAATCTTAGAAAGCAAGGCATGAAGTCATTGAGTCTTTTATAGGAGGATTAAAAATTCACTTACCCTAGAAAGAAAAGGCTGTGGTTCAGAAGACTTCCACATAAACTATGTAGATACTCCACCCTCACAGAGGCGAAGCCTGTCTCCTGATTCCTTGAGTGTAGGCTGTGCATAGTGATTTCCATCCAAAGAGGGCAGAATGGGGGAGGCCGGTGTGCAGGGAGTAACTTTACAGTGGAGAAACGTGACAAATAATATTTCATCCGGGTGATCAAGGTCAAAATCAAAAGTGATAAGTCGGGCTTCTCTGGTGGCCCAGTGGTTGAGAATCTGCCTGCCAATGCAGGGGACACGGGTTCGATCCCTGGTCTGGGAAGATCCCACATGCCGCGGAGCAACTAAGCCCATGCACCACAGCTACTGAGCCTGTGCTCGAGAGCCCATGAGACACTACTGAGCCTGCGTGCCACAACTACTGAAGCCCACACGCCTGGAGCCCATGTTCCACAACGAGAGAAGCCACCGCAGTGAGAAGCCTGCAAAGAAGAGTAGGCCCTGCTCGCTGCAACTAGAGGAAGCCCGCGCGCAGCAACAAAGACCCAACACAGCCAAAAATAAATAAATAAAATAAATAAATGTATTTAAAAAAAAGTGATAAGTCACATTAATGGTATGTACCTTTGACATGATGTGATTAACATGGCATTCTGCAAGATGGTTTTTCAGAGACTCGCAGATCTTCCCGGTCTGCCAGCTTTCCAAATAAAGTCCTACTCCTTGCCTCAACACCTTGTCTCCGATTCACTGGTCTATCGTGCGGCCAGCAGAGGGAGCTTGGACTCAGTAACAAATTCGGCTTAGCCAGCCAGGAGCCTTGCTGCTCCTGGCTAACTGGCCCTGGTCAGGGGAATACTGGGGCAAGGCCCTAGCAGCTGCCAGGACCATTTGTCCTGAGGATCTTCCCTCCAAAGTTCCCTGCAGCGGCACTGGCTACCCCAGAGCTTGGCAGTTGAAGCAAGGAACCGACAAACTTCAGTTTGTGGCTATGAGTCGATGGACTCGATTTGATTCTGGAGGGTAAGTCGAACCGGCGTGCATGCCGGGAACATATTCCCCCCATAATCTGGGCTTTTCCTTTACGGACCAAACCAATCTGGTTGGGGTACCCTGTTGGAGGGGGTAATTGTTGGACTCTACCTGATCCTGGGAACTGGTTCGCTGGGAACTAGTTCGTTGGTTTTGTAGGGTAAGTCTACCCGATCTGGGAACTACTTCATTGGTTTTGTCTTGGTTTTGTGTGCATCGAGGCTAGAATTTGTGCCTTTTGTGTTGGAATTTGTCTGCGTCTTTTGTGTCTTGGTGTTATCAAACTTTTAAAGGTGGAAAATACTCCATCTATCCCTAAGGAGAGGCCTTTGGGGAATATATTAGATAAATGGGCAAAACATAGCCGTGAGCCTATAACTAAGAAAGACATGATATACTATTGTAATAAGATGTGGACCCAATATATGTTAGGATCAGAAGAACGATGGCCCCTGAATGGCTCACTCAATTATTATACAATCTCGCAGTTAGAAATGTTCTGCAAAAGAGCAGGGAAAAGAGATAAGATTCCATATGTAGGAGCATTTATGCTATTGCATCAGGAGGAAAAGGAGTCAGAGGGCTGCCACCTTATGGTGCAGTGGTCTGAAAGGAAACACAAAGGGAAACCTGTTTTACAAGGGAAAAGAAAAAGAAAATGCGACTGGGGACATGTTATTTCAAAACTTAACCCCCCAACCCAGCCTGTTCATCTCCCCAGTGGCCGAGCAGGCTGCACCGGCAGCTGTTCCAACTGACCCCGCCCCCTCCCACCCCGTGCCGCCAACAGATTCACCACCTCCTGTTTCCCCTACCTGTGGGGATCAAATACAAGTTTCTATGGTAACCCCCAGGACACAGGGACCTGGTTTAGAATCACCATCTAAGACCCAACAGGGCACCCAATTTGGTCCGGGGCCACTTCTGCAGCAAGGCAATTTCCCGTGCCCCGATATCCTGTAAAAGGCCAGGGGACTCCCTTGGACTTAAGGCGTCCGATTCTGATTTCCCCACAGGAGCCCCAGGTAACATTGACAGTGGGGAACAAGGTGATTGATTTTCTAATAAATACGGGTGATCTTAAGAGACTTATAAATATTAAACAAAGGGGAAACAAAGTCATCCTAGGAGAAACTTGCCTATATCTTTGAGATACAAATGTCCTAACTGGTCTTCTCAAAAACACTTATTTCTGCCATCTTTTTAAAATGCAAATTTTGAAAAAGAGGGTACTAAATAAAAAGTAATTTAGAGCTTGACTTGTTTTCCATAAGTATTAGTAGAAAGGGTTTAACCATCTGAACAAGTGAGCTTAATTTTTTCCATCTGCCAGAAACCCAACTTTAATCCAACCTCTTTTGTAAACTGATGGGGTTTACATTGCTGTACCTGACTCGGGCTGGAATTTTGAAATGAGAACTATGATGTCTGTTTGTGTGTTTGTATGTGTTTTTGTCTTTGGGTAACATTGCTGAGGTTAGTCTGTAAATGAGCTCTATTTAACTGGCTTAAAGAAAAGTGCTTACAAACCAAACAATTCTAAATACGAGAGAAATTAAGCTAAATGAGTTTCAGGTTCATGTGAACTGGGAAATATTTAGTATTAAATTAATGCCTGGTATTCATGTTTAAGTTTGTTGATCTAATTAATAGAGACATGTCTTTAGAGCCATCAACATTAAGTATAGTACTTTCACTGCACCTAGGTTTAATAGAAGTTAAATGAAATCTTGTTAGATCTGTTGCAAATTTGTCAGCAAGAAAAATAACTTGATATGATGAAACTTTAAAGTAAATAAAAATAAGAGATTTTAGGTAAACTATAAGAATAATTGTGTTCTAAAAATCATCTAAAATAGGTTCTCCAGATTTTGGTAACTATTACTTGCCTCTTGGTTGTCACTAGAAATTAAGGTTTTCAAGAGTTGGGGATTCTAATTTAAATATATAATTAAAGCTACTGAAAATAATAAAACATTTCAGTATGGTAGAATGTGTGTTTTCAGTTAAGAATGTATGAGGAATGGAATTACATTTCGCTGAGAAAGTTTTGTACATGATCAGGATTAACTAAGATTGATGTTAACTAAGTAAATGGATTTTTTTTCTTTTTTTAGATAAGCTAATACAAGACTGGAGTTTGATCTCTCTGTGTTAGAAGTGCTTCTTTCGATAACAGATTATATAAGTTTCTGTGCCCTTAAGTGATCCATATTTGTTTTCTTTTAATCGTTTTGTGACTTTGGTTAAATGAATAAGTACTCTTTCACAGTGACCTACGATCCTGTTGTATTTTAAAACCTTTCTGATATTTTTAACAAAATTCCCAAATATCAAAATCTGACGAAAGCTTTTTAGCCTCCATCTGACTCTGGTATACTTCGAAAGAACATCTCTGAAACATCTCAGAGAGAGATGTCAAACTAAGTTTATTTCGTATGTTAAATTATTTCAAAAACATTGTCAAGTGACTGGAGATGAACCTTAGATTACAGAGTATGGATAAATGTCATTTATATAGATATTCCAAATTTTATATGGAATCCCTAACATCTGATATGTCCTGATATGTTATCAATCATAATACTAGTTATTCTAAAATGTTATATCCAAAATTACATTGTACTCAAATCTTTAACCATGCTATTTTAAGTTTTTTGTCCTGATGCTTTTACAAAATGAAAATTCTTCAAGAAGACTGATAAAAAGGAACTTTTTAACAAATATAAGTTTCTGATAGCCTTTAGATAATATCACTGGACTGGGTAACAAATGACAAAACTAAAGGGAAACCTGATTATTTCATCCAGATCAATGGGAATTAATTACGTGGGAATGAATGAACTGGTAAACATGATTTATAATTTTATGACTTTGGGAAATATTCTGGCTTTAATCTTTGTTTTTCGGAAAAATCTTTTCTTATGCTGTGACCTACAACAGTTGATAAAGTATGCCTTTGTAAACAAAGAGGAAATGTTTATCTTTTTCTCTCTACCTGACCCTGCCAGAATTTGTTTTCTCCAGCTGGCTCTCCTGTGGACTTCATACTATGCTAATCATTGTTTTAATTAGTTCTTTATTTCCAAATTGTTTGTGCTTTGTATCTCCCTGCTGCACTGTGTCTTTGTCAATGTTACTAGCTGCATTACTTATATCCTGTCTATTTTATGAGTGTTGTCTCTTGCAGTACCAAGTGTGTAACCAGGCCTCCAACAAAACTTCTATGGCTAAACATCTTAAGGAAATAGATCACTTTTATAACATAATTGTAATAATGCGATTCTAGGTATGGGAAGAAGCAACAAGGGAAAATGTCTCCTGGATCATAATTAAACAGAGGATCCAGAGAATCTTTAATTATCAATAGGGCCTAATCCAAAAATTAGCACTTGGAGTGGCATATCAAGAATTTTCGCCTGACCTGCGATGAGCCTCCCGGCACAGTGGGACAAAATTTGATCATGAAATATCTCCCAACTATTGGTCAAATTCGTGACCAAGAGGAGAGGATCAGTCATCAGCGATCGCAGCCCTCCAACCTGAGCCGGTGAGCCCTGAGGAAACGCAGGAAGGAGAAGAATACCTGCCATCTAGCAGCCATCAGACTGCAGCCACTCCCTATGGTGAGCTCTGAGGAAACTCAAGATATGAAAATCCAGGATACAGGCCCCAGATAGCTGTGGTGCATATCAAAGAAATGATTTCAGTGAGCCCAGACTCTTGCATCTTCCCATACATAGAGAAATGCTAAATTCCTTAACTTGAGATGTGGCCTCCTGGGCTTGAAGACCTCAAAATTCCTGATAACTCTCAACTTTTAGGTTATAAATATTTTCAACTCTACAGGCATAAAGTAGACACTTCCAAAGTGTAACACGAATCTCAACATTTGGATCACTGACACCCGACGGTGGACACTCCCAGAAAGATCCATCAGACCGAAGAGTTAAAACGTTGTCACCCCTTTTTCCACAAGATTGTGGAATGGACATTGACAGTGGGGAATTGTAACAGGAAAGAGCTAAATCAGACTCCATGTTCAATCTGTTTCTTTGACTTTAACCTTTCCTTTTCGTTGCTCTTGTTATTTTAATCATACATAATGGCCTGCCTCAGGGAACCCTGCCCCTCTGCCTGAATGTTAAAGTGTCTTTGTTCAGCTCACAGGGAGAGGATCCGACCCCACCCACCTGTGGATGGCTTCAAGAAAGAAGAAATTAACACATCCCCTCCCTGAGGCTGGCCATTCCAGGGGATATTTGCAAAACTTCTGGCCTTTTTACTTTACTTCCTCATCTCCTCCCCCTCTCTGTGCTATAAAAGAAACTGGCATCCAAACCCCGATAACATAGTTTCTCAGAGGCACCAGTCTGCCATCTTCTCGGTCTGCCGGCTTTACTTGCCTTAAAAAAAAGAAAAACAAAAAAACAAAAACCGGCATTCTGGGGTCTTCCCCTCCAAAACTCACAACCGTAGTCTAATCATGAAAAGCATTAGACAAATCCCAGTTGAGGGGCATTCTACAAAAAAATACCCTGACCAGTACTGCTCAAAATGGTTGCGGTCATCAAAATCTAGGGAAGTCTGAGAAATTGTCAAAGCCAAGAGAAGTCTAAGGAGACATGATGACTAAATGTTATGTATCTTGGATGGGAGCCTGTAACAACAAAAAAATATCAGGTAGACGCTAAGGAAATCTGAATATTGTAGGAACTTTAGTTAATAATAATGTACGAACACTGGTTCATTAATTGTAACAAATATACCAATACTAACGAAAGATGTTAATAATAGGGGAAATCTTGTGAGGTACAAGTTTATTTTAAGAAAATAACTCATTTATCATTTTGACACTTCAGTAGGTGATCGCACTACACCAGGCCTTCAGTTAATTCAAAATTCCTAAAGAAGCAGATAAGATGAGGCTGGAATTCCTCGGAGCTACCCTTGCTGGTTCTCAGGAAGCCCACCTCCTACATCACCACCACCCCTACTTTATCCTACTTTGGTTTCACAGCCAAGGTTCTTGTAAGAAGAGTGTAGACTTACCGCCTCTACTCCACCTTTCATTCACTCTTCAAACCACTGCAGTCATGTGACTAGCCAGCCATAACTCCAAGTCGAAATTCAGTGGATCCTTCTCAGTTTTCACTTATTTAATCTGATAAAGATTGAAAGTATTGATCACTCACTTCTTTATAACTCCCAGTTTCCTTGCCACAGTCTCTCCTGTTCTCTTAACTTTCCTTCTCCTTGGCTAAAAAAGCTGCCTATCCACCCTCCACTATTTTTTTTAACGTCTTTATTGGACTATAATTGCTTTGCAATGGTGTGTTAGTTTCTGCTGTACAACAAAGTGAATCAGCTATACATATACATATATCCCCATATCCCCTCCCACTTGCATCTCCCTCCCACCCTCCCTATCCCACCCCTCTAGGTGGTCACAAAGCACCAAGCTGATCTCTTTTTAAATCTGATAGAACTTGAGCTTCTTGGTCTGGAGAAGGGTCATTTAGTTGTGCAGATATAGGGCAAGTAGACATGCATGACTTACTTTTTTGTCTTAGCAAAAACTGTCTCTCCCATTGGTGTGCAGAGCTAGACACTGGGGAGGAGGTGACTCAGTCCCTACAAGGAACTGAAGGCCTGCTTGAGGAAAAGACATCAGAGCCCCAATCTCCAGACTCCATGGTTCAACATCAGGGAAGCCTGTTAAGGATCCATCAAGGAGTCCTGAGGAAAGTCTGCTAGGGGAGAAGTGACCAAGGATTCCAAGAGCTGAATATACCAGGAAAATAAGATACAGCAGCACAAAGACCCCAGAATTCATGGGGGTGGAAGGTGGGTACATTGTTTTCAGCACACAGTGGCAGAATTACCTCCCCAACCATCCTGCCATTGCTGTTGCATGTTGGGGGAAAATTGCTGCGCATAAGTGTGAATTAAGGGTAGCTGTGACCCTAATACCCACCGCTGTGGTCTGCACAGTCATCTAACAGGCCAGCAAGGGCATCCCAACACCATCCATCAAACTGCAGGATTAGTCTTCAATGGTAATACCCTGTGGACTCAAGAAACAAAGGCAATGGACTTACCAGGCTCCAGTGCTCTCTCCACCTGACGCTTGGAAGAAGACTGACCAACAAAGCTCCCAATCCTTGGGCTGAATCAGTACCTGCCATTAATGGACATTTTTGAGGAAGGAAATTATGAAACCTTGCTAATATGGACTCAGTCAATTTGTTAAACAAAAGATGTGATCATATTTGTACCCTAAATTTCTGAAGTTCACACCAGCCACACAAGTTCTGCTCACTCTACCTAACCCTTAAATATTGCTATTTTTGAAAATTTTGTACTCCACCTGGATAATTCCATCCAGTCTGTATCTTTATTACCTCCTTTATCCAATGTCTCCCATATCTCTATCTAGAAAAAAGGATTCTGAGCTATGTATTACCTCCAACTGCCTTCTTAACTTCATCTGGGTGTTCCATAGGACTGCAAATGCAGCCTGTCCACAAATGATTGTACTTCCCCAAAGTGCACCCACACACCCATAAAAAACATATTCCCCTACCCTTACTAGTGGCATTACTCCAAACAGAAATATGGGATTCTTCTTAGTTGCCTCCTTTCCATCACCTCCCACATCTAATCTCTCCTCTTCTTACCACCTTCTCTTGTTCGCCACCTTCTTTGCACTAATCCAGACCCTCACTTCTTCTTGCCTGGACTTTGCAATTGCCTCTTGATGTCTTACACTTCCCCAAGCATGCTAATTCCTCAATTTGAAACATGCTTCCCATTTTCCCACTGTGTGCATCTGTCTTTTCCAACTCATAATTGGTTTCTCCAGAAGGCTTCCTTCACGTCCCAAGTCAGGATTAGTGGCCTCTCTTGTGAGATGTCCTATCACAGTGCTTATCACGCTGTACCCAGTTCTTGTTTATCGTCCTTGGGAGACTGTGGGCTCCTGAGGGAGGGGTTGTCTCATTCACCATGGCAGCCCCAAAGTCCAGCACAGTGCCTAGCACTCAGTAGGTATCTAATAATTTGATGAATAAATAAATGAATAAACATTAACTTTTGCTCCTGCCTTTTAGTCTTCCCCCTCCAGTCCATCCGCCACAGTCCATTCTCCACATGTGATTCTAAAACATCATGTTACTCTACAGCTTAAAACTCATCATTTATTTTCCTATTGTTCAAAGTAGTGTATCTGAAACAGTGTTCCATGTTACACTGCTCTGAGAAAAAAAGCAAGGCTAATGATATTTTGCTTCTAAAATTTATTGAGAAAAAGAAAAGCAGCTCTCAACCTCCAGGAGCTGGCCTGCTACTATCAGCTATGCCTTAAGACTCTACTGTTGAACACAAACAGTTTCACAGACCATCAGCAAGAGACAAGGCTGCTCTTTGACTGTGATGGGTCAGGACAAAAACAAGGCCACTCCATAAACATGTCTGCACAGAGACATAACATGAACAGTGTCCAAACCACAAAAATGGCCAAACATCCTCCTATCCTGGCTGATATGAGTGACTGCTGCTTCTTTACCCATTACAGGCTAGCCTCCAACTAGTCTTCTCTCCTTTGAGTTAAGATTTATTAATCATACTCAATCATAGAATTACCTGTTTTCTGACATTTAATGCTAAGCAAAGCCCCACTTCCTCAAACTCTCCTGAAATCACTTAACCCGAACCCCAATCCTACAATAAACCCTTTCTAACACCATCTTACTGAGATGCACAGTTCCCCGTGGTGTACATTCTTCCTTTCTGCCATGAGTAATAAACCCACCTTCCTTGTTCAACCACAAGTATGTTCCTGGTGGTCTTTGGCTGGAGGGCATTGGCAATATTTTTTCCTATATCTAAGTAAAATACTAAACGTATTTATATTATTGCTTATGTGCTTATGTGACTCTAAGAATGACAAGAAGTTACGAACACCTGATGTTTGACCTGTCCATTGGTATAGATCCAGCATTTACCAACTAATTAAGCATTGCTTTATGTTGTCTATTAGTCTTATCATTTCACTGTTTTTTTAATATTAACAGCATATCTTGGAGATATTGTCAGTTCAGTTCCAGACCATCATAATGAAATAAATATTGCAATAAAGCGAGTCACACAAATTTTTTTCATTTCTCAGTGCATATAAAAGTTATGTTTATACCACGCTGTAGTCTATTAAGTGTGCAATAGCATTATGTGTAAAAAATGTACATATCTTAATTTTAAAATACTTTATTGCTAAAAAATGCTAAACCATCATTTGAGCCTTCAGTGAGTCATAATCTTTTTGCAATAGGAACATCAAAGATCACATCAAACATCAAAGATCAAAGATCACATCAAACATCAAACATCAACATGTTATAACTATAGTTGTTATAGTTATAACAACTATAACGAGGAAAAAGTTTGAAATATTGTGAGACTTACCAAAATGGGACACAGAGACACAAAGTGAGCAAATGCTGTTGGAAAAATGGTACCGATAGAAAATTGCTTGACACAGGGTTTCCAGAAACTTTCAATTTGTAAAAAACGCAGTATCTGCAAGTGCAAAAAAAGTGAAGCACAATAGAACAAGATGTGCCTGTATTTAATTTTATTACATATTAAACATTTATACTAAACAATGGAGCTTCCTGAATCCATCCAAACAGAAGAAAGTTTTTAGCTTGTTTGTTTAAAGGAGAGTTCTAAATAGGTGTCTGATCAGATACAGCTCAAATACCAGCTCCCTCCCTCATGAAGCATGAGCTTATGGGTGACACTTACAGCACACAGTGCAGGATGAACACGGCACTTCAAGTAGTGAGACGATCCAGACGCAGAACTAATCCTGTGGAAGCAGGAGCCAGTAGTCCCTTTCAGAGTGTTTGTACTAGTGTTAGGTCAACTCTCCCTTTGTCTTCTCCCATCTCTATAAACGGACAATGCCTACAAAATGTTCTCTACGAATGACAACATTCTTGTGCAGGTGGATTTTTTGTGGAAATTGGAAAAGGTTCAAGTTTCGTCTCTGGGCTCATTCCATAAATTGTGGGAAAGTCTTCGGGTTTTCAGAGGCTAGAGAATTAGGGATGTGTTTTGATCTAATTTTATCTAGATCTTGAGAGGAGGAAGAAGCTCCTTGATGCCATCTGGGCTGTATACATAATCTGAAAAATAAGCTAAAACTTTTTGAACTATAGTGGAAAATGGAAATGGCTGTAACTAGACTATGAACTCTTTGAGGATTGGCTGTTCTCTCCAATCCTTGGTACTCAAATTGTGGTACAAGGTGCAACAGCATTGGCATCACCTAGAAGCTTATTAGAAGCACAGATTCTAATCAACCCCAGGACCAACGCAGGATCAACCCCAGACCTACTGAATGAAAATCTGCATTTGAATAAAATCCTTGATATTTTGTATGCAAATTGAGAAGAACCTGAGTCAGGTACTATACCTCACTCACTGTTGAAGGAGAGAAAGGATAGAAGGAAGGAAAGCAATCTTATTTCAAAAGCTCTTACACTAGATTATCGATGAGTATTTTAGGACTTTAACAATGAGGAGAAGATAGGAAAATATTTTTTAAATTAAAATGTATAAATTTTATGCAGTCCATGATATGTTCCTGTATTCGTTTGTCTCCTTTGTTCTCTAATATCTCACATCATTGTCACAAATTTCTCCCAACTAATTTTTTAACATAAGTACTAGTATGGATAAAGTAGTACATTAAATCATATTTTTTATTACTTGACTAATTTGACATAAAAATGTTGCCAGCTTTGAATTAAAATTAAGGGCATCGGTATTTTCTCTTTTTTAGCTACCCAGATAGCACTGTGGTTTTTATATATTATTTTCTTTTGATTTATGTTTTTAAGGTGATGTGGTTGTTGCCCTTGTTGTTGTTAGTATTCTCCACCAGAATTGAGCACCAACTTTCACTCATTTCTTTTTTTTTTTTTTGGTAGGAAGTTAGTTACCAAAAATAAACTGCATTAAGTCCATATTCAACTTTAGGATTTGGGCTCCCTTAAAATTGTGACATAAAATTACAAGCACCCTCCAAAATTTCTTTCAGCTTTAGGTAAAATTAATGTTGGAGGTCACAATGGCATTTGATAATGAACCTTGTACAGAAATAGTCTTGTTGCTATAAGTACTTCGAGAATTCCAAACACTGGCTCTCCTCCTCCTTAGCAAAGATAAGAGAATGTTGGAAGCACTCACACTGCAGCAACCTCAAGAACAGAATAAACAAGGAACACTAACCTGGAGGGGTAAAGACTTACTTAAATTTAATTGCCAGTTCTCCTTAATGTTTGCTGAAGAGCAAGAAGTTCCCCCAAGATATTCAACTATTAACTACAAAATTTTGATTCTTACAGGCAATCAAAAATTATGTCAGGACCGCACATCTTAGAAATCATATTTGTTATAGGAAATTATCTTTTTCCATGGCATCTAAAGGATATCTATTATTTAAATGCTTATTATTTAAACCATTTAATTTACAGATGGTTTAGTATTTAAATTTAAATTGTTCACCATTCTTTAAATGAACTCAACAGCCTTGTACAAATTCTTCCCCCACGATACTGAGCGTGAAGGGTCATTTAGTCAGACTCCAGGCTTAGCATTCCACCAGCAGCCTGCTCAAAATAAGGGGTGCCCAGAGTAGATAAAATTCCAAGCACACCAGAAAGCCTCGTTCTTCCACAGAATCATAATTAGGCAATTGTTATTTATCATTAACTTATTAAAGACTTTCCTTCCAGCCTACTTACCAATAATTAAATAATATTTTTAAACACCAGCTTGGAAATAAAGTGGTCTGGGGGAAGTTGGGGAGAGAGTTTAATAAGTGCAACACAAAGCAAGTGTTTCAAATGTTTTAGGACAAATCTTAAATCTAATATTCTAAAGCCAGGGAGGGCTGTTGGCTTTGTTTTTGGGCAATGAATCCAAGAAGGGCCCAGAGGCGGAGTTTGCTCATTATTTTCCCTCTAAAGGCTCTTAGTCTTTATATCAAGCTAAACAACCATTGGGGCCACAACCCCAATGTTAAAACAACCATTGGGGCCACACACTCATATAGTTTTATTTTAAGCAATCTTTTCATTGATGTGCAGCATACAGAAGTTTGTACAAATCATATGAGGTTTCACAAAGTAAACTCATTCATGTAACCAGCACTGAGATCAAGAAACAGAACATGGCCAGCGTCCCAGGAGCCTCCATCCTGCCCTGCCTCGTCATTACCCTCACCCTTCTCCAGTGTAACTGTTTTTTTTAAATTTCGCTCATCATTTAATACTTTTGCACCTTACCATGTTAACCATTTGTCTTGTCTTGTCAATATTTTCTGATATTTGTTTTGGATACAATGATTACAATTGTCATGTTTTTGAAATATAGTTTTGAAACTATTGCTGTAAGTTTGAATTATATAATTTTCACAGAGGTGTTAGAGTTTCAGTAACAGATTGGGATCAATGTAACTTTTAACATCACAGATCACTTTTGCCTGTTTTTGAACTTTATGTAAACAGAATCATATGGTATTCACTATTTGTATTGAGCTTCTTTTGCTCAAAAATAGCATGAGTTCATGTAATTCATCCATATTTGCTTGTAATTGTAGTTCATACATTCTCATTGCTGTGTAATATTCCATTATGGGAATATATAACAGTTGGTTTTCCATTCTATTATTGACGAATTTGGGTTGTTTCCAGTTTAAGGCTATTATGAATCGTGCTGCTACATTATAGTTTCTTGTTTTCTTTTTCTTTTTTTTTTTTTTTGCGGTACGCAGGCCTCTCACTGTTGTGGCCTCTCCCGTTGCGGAGCACAGGCTCCGGACGCGCAGGCTCAGCCTCCATGGCTCACGGGTCCAGCCGCTCCGCAGCATGTGGGATCTTCCCAGACCGGGGCAAGAACCCGTGTCCCCTGCATCGGCAGGTGGATTCTCAACCGCTGCGCCACCAGGGAAGCCCTACATTATAGTTTCTAATCGAAAGTTATATAATCAGTTTGAATAAATAAATGTTTGGCAATACTTTTTTTTTCTCATCATTATTTTCCATTAAAAAGATGAGGTTATTGGATTAGATAGAGCAGAGATGAAACTTAGAGTCTAATAATCTATAATCTTAATAACCTTTTCTTGTATAAAAAGTAGCCTCTACACAGCCAAGTTAGCAGCTTTATTAGTTTCTATTGATGCTGTAACAAATTACCACAAATTTAGGGCTTAAAGCAACACAATTTGTTCTCTTATAGTTCTGGAGGTCAGAGTCTAGAATGGGTCTTAAAGAGCTAAAATCAAAGCTTTGGCAGGCCTGCCTTCCTGCCTAGGCCTGGAGGCTCTAGGGGGGGTCTGTTTTCTGCCTTTTCCAGCCTCTAGGGGCTGCCCATGTTCCTCATCTCCTGGCCTCCAGCCTGTGAGGCCCATCACTGCCAGCTGCATCTCTTGTCCCTTCTCTGATTCTCATGCCTCTCTCTTTCCCTCCATTAGAAGGACTTTTGTGATTACATTGGGCCCACCTGGATAATCAAGATCCTTAATCACATCTGCAAAGTCCCTTTTGCCATGTAAGGTAACACATTCACAGATTCCAGGGATTAGGACATGGACGTCTTTGGGGGACCATTAGTCATCCTACCACACAAACCCTCTGAAATTATGTTCGGCTTCCATTTCCCAGTACACTTTTCCCCTGGCCACTTGACTGAAGTAAAGCAGACACTCAATAGCCTCGTACCCTGTGATCTCAATTCGAAGATGTTTACCACATCAGCTTCTGGAGGGTAGGGATTGAACAGCTTTGTTACCTTTTCCCCACCGCCTGAATAATCTCTGATACTCCGTGGGCACTCAGTGACTTGGTTGAATGAATGCACGAAGTATCCCCTACATCCTCACGTCTTCTCCCTGCGAGGTAAGAAGCAGCCACGTGACACTGAAGGCCCTGCAGCTGTGGTTTTATACACTACTCTGGCCTTTGCCAAAACACGTAAGATCTCTCCATGCCTCTGTTTCCTCATCTAATAAAGGGAGTGGCTGGCACAGGTAATATCTAGAGTATCTGGCCAACATTTATGTTCATTTTAAGTGGAAACAATGTTTAGGATATTCTGTAATGTGAAAAGGTCAGAATTCAAAATTTTATCAATGATATGATTTAAATTGGCTGTAAAATTATGCACCATACTAATATAAAAGTTAATAATAGGGGAAACAGTTTGGCGTATACGGGCACTCTGTATTATCTTCATAATTTTAAAGTAAATGTTAAATTGCTCTAAAACAAAAAATTTCTTTTCAAAAAGTTGCTTGGCAATGAGATCAGATTATAAACCCCTTGAGGGCAGAGGCCTTGTTCGCCCTCATATTTGTTTACATAAAGCCTAGGACAATGCTTCACAGACAGTTGAGTCTGAGAGAAAATATTTTTGTGGATTTCAGATGACCACAAACACAGTATCTGACAGTCTTATGAGAACTGTGAAATACACTTTGTTGTATGAAAGCCCAGCTGGGCTTGATATAATCACGTGTCATAGAGGAATGGAGCCTTGGAGGAGGCTGAGAAGCATGTAGCTTTTTAAAATTTATTTATTATTTATTTTTGGCTGCATTGGTCTTCGTTGCTGCACGTGGGCTTTCTCTAGTTGCTGTGCGTGGGCTTCTCGTTGCAGTGGTTTCTCTTCTTGCAGAGCACAGGCTCTAGGGCGCCCGGGCTTCAGTAGTTGTGGCGCGTGGGCTCAGTAGTTGTGGCATGCAGGCTCTAGAGCGCAGGCTCAGTAGTTGTGGCACATGAACTTGTTGCTCCTTGGCATGTGGGATCTTCCCAGACCAGGGCTCGAACCTGTGTCCCCTGCATTGGCAGGCGGGGTCTTAACCACTGCACCACCAGGGAAGTCCCAAGCATGTAGTTTTTTAAGGGATGCCATCAGATGGGAAGTGAAAGAGGCCAGAGAGAGCACATGTAATTCAGACAAGCATATTTAATTATTTTATAATTGAAAAATTTGGAAGCCTGTGTAGCCAGGATTCTCAGTGGGAACAAAGATGGATGTTGGAGAGTGTGTGAAGTAGTAGTCGGCCCTTCATATCCACAGGTGCCGCACCTGTGGATCCAACCAACTGCAGCCTGAAAATATATAGAACAAAGGATTCCAGAAAGTCCCCAAAAGCAAAACTTGAATTTGCCTGTGGGCCAGCAACTATTTACATAGCATTTACATTGTATTAGGTACTATGAGTAATAGATGATTTAAAGTATATGGAGGGTGTCTGTAGGTTATATGCAAATACTATGCCATTTTATATAAGGGACATGAGCATCCTCAGATTTTGGTATCTGAAGCGGGTCCTGGAACCAGTCCCCTGAGGATATGGAAGGATGAGTATAGATGTGCAAATATCGGCACATATCCAAAACTGGTTATAAATTATGATGTGATCATGTATATGGATTTTTAAAGTTTGAAAAAACATTGGAGTGAATATTGGGTTCCTCATTAAAATGATTTTACTACAAAAGTAAGGCTACTCATTAAACATCAATGATCATAAATTTCTCTGCCTCCAAAACCATTGATTATCTCTAAACTGCTTATATAATTCCAATCCTAAACAATTATCTTTATGAAAGATTAGACAATGACCAAAAAAATACGCATGGAGAAAATTACATTAAGGAAACATTAAAAAATTAACCACGGTCATTTTTTTGTGGGTAGACCATGGATCACATTTCTTTCATGTTTAGTTTAGTAAGCAGATTTTATTTCTATGATAAAAATAAAATTAACATTTAAAAAGTGTTTTTAATTTTAAGAGTTTACATAAAAAGATTGTTTTATTGTCGGCTTGTAATTTGAGCAATTAATATTGCAGATCTTTATGCACAAGAACATTTACAATCAGAGTTTTTTGAAGTGTTTAAGTGAAGATTTCTCGATTTCCCCTCTACTCCTCAAACATGTTCCTTCCTTGGTCTTCCCCATCTTATGATACAGGACTACCATTCTCCCATTTGTTCAAGCCAAAATCATAGAAAATCATCATTTATCAGGCTTTTCCCTTTACTTTCCCTCAAGTCTATCAATGACCACTGTCAACTCTGCTTCTAAAATAAACCTTGAGGTCTTCCCTGGTGGCGCAGTGGTTAAGAATCTGCCTGCCAACGCAGAAGACACGGGTTCGAGCCCTGGTCTGTGAGGATCCCACATGCCAAGGAGCAACAAAGCCCGTGTGCCACAACTACTGAGCCTGCACTCTACAGCCCACGAGCCACAATTACTGAGCCCACGTGCCACAACTACTGAAGCCCACGCACCTAGAGCCCGTGCTCTGCAACAAGAGAAGCCACTGCTATGAGAAGCCCACGCACCACAACGAAGAGTAGCCCCCGCTCAGCGCAACTAGAGAAAGCCTACGTGCAGCAACAAAGACCCAACGCAGACAAAAATAAAAATAAATTAATTAAAAAAAAATACATCCTGAATATGTTCTTTTCTCTCCTTCTCTACTGTCAGCACTTTAGTCTGAACCAGCATTTTGCAAACTGTGAGTTGCAACCCACTGGTGAGTTATGAAATCAGTTTAATAGGTAACAAACAACCAGTATTTCTTCTTTTACAGTGAAATCGAATAGAAAATCTCAGGATGCATCACTCATGGTAAGAGTATTGTCTCATGAAATTTTTGTTTATGAATATGTGTTTATGTAATGAGTTACCATAAAAAATATGTTTCTTCTTGTGGACTGTAGTAAAAAAAATGTTTGAAAGCCTTCATGAGCCCCCCTCATTTCTCACCAGGATTGCTTAAAACCTGGAATGTTTATTCTAAGCATGATGAGAAGCCAACCATTTCACAATGGCCTAAAGGCCCAATGTGGTCTGCTGCCTATTTATCTCTCCCCATGTCTTATCTCTCTCCTCCTCCTAACAGTGCCCCAGTCACACTGGCTGCCTTTTTACTGAACACACCAAAGTATCCCCACCTCAGGGAATTTGCACCTGCTGTTTTCCTCTGCCTAGAATACTCTTCACAATACTTGCAGATTCTGCCTGGTCTTAGTGCAAGGGTCACCTCCACAGAGTGGACTTTCTAAAATGCCCCCAATC